CATTAACTGTTTTTCAGAGGAAAATTGAACTTATTTTCCATTCATCACTGAAATTTTTGAAACTATGTGCAACTCTCAACAGTTCCCTGGTATAAGTACCATGTGTGTTTTGGTGACAAACAGAGCCCAAAAAAAAGAACTTGGGAATAAAGTTCAGACCCTTGAAAAATTTTCCAAGAACTTTCCACTTCTCACAGTTTCATACCGACTGCAAACTTGCTGAGGATGGACTCTGTCCCAGCACAGAGTTCATCAGGGAAGATACTGAACAGTATCAGGCCTAGTATCAACCTCTGGAGTACACCACTAGTGACTTGTCTCCAACTGGACTGTGCCCCATGGATCAGAAGCCTCTGAGCCCAGCTGTTCAGACAGTTTTCGATCCACCTCACTTTCCACTTATTTAACCTGTACTTTGTTAGCTTGTCTATGAGGATGTTATGGCAGACAACGTCAAAAGGCTTACTCAAGTCAAGATAAACAGCATCGACAGCATTCACCTCATTCACCAAGCCAGTTGTCTCACTGTAGAAGGCTATCAGGTGGGTTACAGATGATTTTCCCTTTGTAAATTGATGCCGACTACTCCGAATCACCTTCCTGTCCTTCATGTGTTTGGAAATTCTTTTCAGCTGGATTTTCTTCATCACCCTCCCAGGGACTGAGGTAAGGCTGACCAACCTGTAGTTCCTCTAATCCTCCTTCTTGGAAACAGGAGTGACATTTGCTCACTTCCATTCGTCAGGAACCTCCTTCAATCACCATGATCTTTCAAAGATAATTGAGAGAGGTCTCCTAATGACATTGAGCAGTTCCCCTCATCATTTCTGGGTGCAAACCATCAGGCACCGCAGGCTTATGTCTCTTATGTTTAAGCACTCCCTAACCTGGTCCCTCCAAAGGTAAGTCCTCCTTCCTCGACTTTCCCTCTGGACTCAGGAGCATGAGATTCCTGAAGACCAGCCTTATGTGTGAAGACCAAGGCAGAAAAGTTATTGAGTACCTTGGCCTTTTTCATGTCATTTGGTTTCTGCAATTCCTCATGTGAAAAGCAACAGACAACCGCAAATTCTGGAATGGACTTAGGTCCTAAAATAAGTTCCAGTGGAGACAGCTGCAAACAGTTTGGGGTCCAGCCACATAAGCCTAATACCCACTGTCCAAATCAGTCACTGAATTAATCTCTTTCTCTGAATATAAAATGAAATTCAAGCAAAGACATTTTACTGCTTTCTCCTATCCTCCTTTTCTTAATACTCACAATGAGACTGTACTTTTCTTGCACTGTTAGCCAACCTCATATATCACAAACAATTGCACTGAAGTTCTTCCACTCTCAGGGACAGGCCACGCATCCAGGTATTTTGAAAGCACCACTGAAGGGCACTGATAAAGAAAAGGCATATATTTTTCTTTTCTCTGAATTGGTTTTTCCCAAAACCCACAATTAGAAGTTTATAGCCTCTTCACTATGGAAAGCAAAATACTTGAAGTAACAAGCATAATCATCTCACAGGAAGTAAAGCCTTAGGGACATGAAATCTCAGATAAAGCTGTATTACCCTGGTGCTTTTTTGATAAACAAATACAACATTCCATTACCATTAGCTGTTTGCAGACTTTTAAAGTTGTACCTATTGGTTCTTAACAGATGATGGCCAAGGTACTTCCAAGGAAAAAACAGCCCTAACAAATAATACCCCTCTGGCCTGTTTCTTCTGTCTCCATCTGTCATTCAACGAAAGCAACTTAGACAAGGTAAAGGGGCAAAAAGTAAAACACAAAGGCAGTAGAATTGAATAAAGTCTTCCTTTCCCCAAAAAAGTACATAAGTTACCTTTTCAGCATAGTGAACAAAACTCATCCCAAAACATGCATCAAATAACTTATAAATCCTTGTCTATCTCCACACTTGATTACCTTCAACTCTTTAGCCTCTTTCTTCCAAATCAATGGATACAGGAAAGTTCCTCCTGCATCAAGAAATCCAGCTCCTCGCTTTAATACCCAGTAGCATAATCATACACTCTCCTGTTGTGCAGGCTTCCAATATATCTTTAAACTACCTCGCAATAAATACGCTCTGATGTCCCACTTCTGAATGGAAAAGGACAGAGTTTTCTTAAGGCCTTAAAGTCTAAAAATGTATTTTATTTCTCTTCCATCTTCTACAATGCAAACTAAGTTAACAGATCTCTGGAGCCATTTTGTCTATAAATAGCTCTAGGAATTCAGGAATTTTTTTTTTTGCCCACGATACAAAAACAATTAGAAATCCCATCCTGATGGTCAAGCAATAATGCAAACATTTCATCCATCACTGGTTCAAAAATAAGCTAATACAAGTCTCTAACTAAATAATCATGTCAACATGAGAATTCTATATTTCATAACTCTCAATCATATTTTCCAGCTCAACTCTTCAAAAAAGCTGTTGCTTAAGCCCAGCAATAATCTGCCTTGTAAGAACAACACAGGAATAGCTGGCATTTCAGTTATCTTCAGAACAGACTTCAGTTACAGGGAAGAAACTAGCTTTTTCTTTTGTCCCTCACAACTTACCATGTAAGAATGCCCTCTAGTATTTTCATGATTCCTTCAGCAGGTATCAACCTACTGTTGAAAGAAAGCAATCATCACTTGCTCTAGGAACCACTGCCTATATGATGTTTTCATGGACATGAGCTTTCTTCCATGAAAAGCTCACAGTAGTAGTGGTGAAAGAGGCTTTACATTTTTCAAAGTTCTAAGCAAAGACAGACCAACCCGACCTGTAACGTCAGAAGACAGGAGTGGTCCACCTTTTCTTTTAGGCAAAGTTAGCCAGTAGATGTTATTCTGAGTGCCTAGGCAATACTGCACACAGAATGGTCTTGAACTGCAAAACTGAACGCCTTTTTGTTCAGCATTGTATTGCTTGAGCACATTCTTGAGTGTCTTCAAGTTACTGAGTTATTAAAATATTCTGAAGGCACACAGAGAACCACATAGACTGTTGTTTCTCCCATGTTCTCAGTTTCCACAGAATACGGGTGGGGTTTGGAGTTTTGGGGTTGTGGGAGGGGGGCGTTGGTTGCTTTTGTTGTTTTTTGGTTTTTTTTAAGACGATAAAAAGAACTACCCATGATACTTGAACATAGCCTCTCTCCAGGCTGATAGTCTTTATTTAATTAGTAAACATTACCTTCTTCGTTACCTATCTAAGCATTTAAATATAATTAATGCATTAATACTTAATTTTGCAAGTCAGATTCTCTTTGGGGAAAATGCATTTCATTCTGCTTGTTTCTGTGTGACAAACGCTCATATTTTTTTCAACTATTTTTCAACTATTTCACCTTCACCTTTTTCACATTTCTAATATTTGACTAACCTGAATTTTCACTGAGGCAAACAGTGATTTGCTACATTATCTCAGGTTATAACAGAGCTTTATGGTAAGTCTGGAGTAGAGTCCAGTATCATTTGAGGAAGAATTACAGGAAGAACCACTGAGAGGATTTAAGCGACGTACACAAGTACTTGTGAAACTTCCAAGCTGTACCGAGCACTGCAGAAAGCCACCTAAGACTGAAATGGTGATGTATCATCAGCGGGAAAAAAAAATAAATTTTACACTCTGTACTTCCTCATGATGTTGTGCCCAGGTATGACAGAATCAGCTCCATACCAGAGTGCTATCATGACAACAGGAAAGTCTCCTTCAGACTATTCCACACATCTCCACAGTAGTATAATTTAAAACAGGCAAAAGACAGACAAGAATCAAGCAAACAACCTCACTGCTGCCAAAACAGACTTTATAGTAGCACGAATATAATTTAGTATTGACATTAAAAGAGGACTTCTTATTTCCTCCAAAGGCAGATATACAAGCAAAAAGGTCATGTGGTAAATTCTATGTAAAGTGACTGACAGCAATGCAGCCACCTCTCAAATCCACAAGTGACCTTGACCTTATAGTGACAAGCACTTTAAAAGGATAGCAGTTTTATTTGCTAAGTCTCTTCATGCAGAATTACCACAGGCACTATGCTAAACACAATACAGTGGTTTGTTCAGTTCATAAACATCATGAGTTTCTAATGCCTCACATTACATTGCACACCTGATTGCTATATTTCAGTGCAGCACTACTAGATCATAAAAAGCTTTAGGCACAAATCCTATTGCACATTTCAACAGTCCTCAGCATAGTGACAGCACTCAAACAAGATAAATATTTAATCAAGCAAGTGCACTACTTTTGCAATGCAAGAAAATCTTGCATTACGAAATTTTACTTATTATCCAGCACTTTGACAGTAACACACATTTTCAGTCATAAAACAAATATTTAAAGAACAAAATCTATCTTCGTATACAAACACTTAATTCTTACCAACTTCAAAAGAATGCTATATACACATACATATGTATGGGCCCTACTGTGCTCAAAAGTGAGCAGCTTTTGAACACATTTTTTCCTCCTAAAACACACGTAATAAAAATACAATTAAAGCTCCTTATTTTGCTATGAAAATTCTCTATACTTAACAAAGCAAATAAGGAATGAGAACAAATTGTTCTCAGGTACTAAAGTAGAGTAAGCTACCATTCGTCTGAAACAAAATACATCATTAGCAAGTAGACTTATAATGACAGCTGTAATCTTTCAGAACCTTCTTCCTTCAAGTAATTTTAATAACATCCAGTTTAACAATAAATCTTCATTAAGAAGTTCATGTATATTTCCCTCTCAACACATGAAAGCAGATAAAGCAAAACTATACTAGAAAAAGGCATTATCATTACCTAGCAAGAACACCTCTTTCCACTCTAAAAAAAAGTATTATTTAGAAAGCATTTTAAGAAAATCTTGTGTTCGAACAACTTTCATGCTTGCATACTTTAAGGAAAACATTTAGATAACCTTTCTGTTATTTAGTTCAGAGAAAACAAAATGTCTTATCAGTTGAGTAATAGTGCCAGTAAAAATACTTTCATTCATGTACACTTACTGCAATCTCTCTACAGGCCGACATGGATATCCCTGTACCTTCGATTTGCTTCAGTGCATACTCCTTTTCATCTTTTCTGTACACAAAAAAAAAATAGAGAGGAATATTTTTAGCTTGGACTTACATTACACCAACCAATACAAGTATAATGGTTTATTTTAATTTGGTACGGATCACAAAGCTGAAAAGCCAATCTGTTTTTATGCATAAATTACACTTAGATATGGAAAGTAGGTTTCCCTTTTACAGAGACTGCAAAAATCCCAAACTCTCGCATGAAGAAACTTTGTTAACCTCTATCCATTTCTCTCTGAAACCATATAGATAACTGCAAACACATCTACAGAGAATTTTGGAGGACACTTCTCCTGCAATTCCAGCAAAAAGCAATACAGTTGTATCGTATCCCATGCCTGGAAAATTCTCCTAGAAATACCTAGGAACTGCAAGGATCTTACTTGATTTTACAAGCCACTGTCAAATCCACTTGTACTTCTGAAATACTATTATGTTTTAAATTAATTATACTTATGGAAAGAACATGAATTTGACCAGGCAAGTTTCTGTTTGCCAGAACACAAGCACAGCACCCTCCTCGAGTGCTGGCTACCAGCAGGCCCCTACATGGTGTACGAAACACTGTGCTCTGAAGTACAAGGCCGAAACACAGTACGACGCTTTTAAACAATCACAGTTTCAAGTGATTTAGAGGGAAAACCAACAGAAGAAAATGAAGTAGCATCTCAAAGCCGTTGCAACACAACATAACCACCTTACTGCCTATGGCAAGGTTTTGCAGGGTTCAGCTATCATCGATAGACGATCATAAGCACCGATACACACAGTGCTGATGCACGTCTGCGGACTCACCCCTTATGGTTCAACAACCCCCATCAAAATTCCCTATGGCATTTCTGGCAGACTTCAGTTTCCCCTTCGTCCAGTCCAAAACCATTTCGTTTTGCTATGCTGAAAAATTAACTCGCATTAGTTTCAGCCTCCTTGCTTTTAAGTAGAGGTCTGTGTCCTACCCAGCTCCAGCCTCCTTGCCACCCCTATCTCTGAAATTCATGGGATGAGAAGTGGCTGAGTGGAGGAACGTGGGGAGGGGATGAGATTGACCAGAAATTATAACTGTCTACACGTATTAGTAACTACAGGTGATCACTTTTCTCAGTAATTTTCAGTAGCAGCTAAACCCACAATGCATAGTTAACATTGTGCTTGGCTTCCGTTTTGCACTACGTTTATTGAAGAAAAAATACGACAAGAAAAATTCCAGCTGTATTTGACTGCACATGAAAACCCAGTGTGCTGCAAATTTTGAAAAAAAACTAAATCCACCTTTGAAGTAGGAGTCCCTCAACAGCTGTTGCAGCTGGGAAACCTGAGTTCTGGTGCTGCAACTTAACTTAGAAATATTTGTTATTCCTCTCTCAAACAAGCACTTGCATGAAGCCTTTGGAAATCTGAAAAGATATTCCCTCCAAATTAAAAACAGAAATTCAGTTGTAATGGAATTCCAATCCGCTTTATTTCAAGCAGAGCATTTCAACGTGTTTGGGATTTGGTGCAAGACTGATCTCTAAGGAAGCAAGACCAAGCACGTTAGGCTACAGGCATGAAGGGCCTCTTTCTCCAGGAGTAACAGATGATCCTTCTGCAGCTGAAACGAAAGGAATGGGTTATTTTGAGGTGACTTAAATGATTTTGGAATTTCCAAAAAGAGAAATACATTCTCATTCTGCACAGATTTTTCCATGGAGAAATGGGAAAGGCAGCAACTTACAGCACGCCTTACAACTACCCCCAAAATATTCACTCATTCAGATACTCGGATACAAACCTTAAGAACAAGCACACATGACAAATGAACATAACAAGATTGGACCCTCCTCTTCTAAAACAAACTTTTACTCCTCTATGCTAATTAATAATAAATAGCCTCATATCACAGTATTTCAAACATATAAGTTCTGACTCTGTACTTGGCAGGTGAAGGAACACCCAACACTTTTCAAGTGCCAAAAGGAAGCCTAAGAAGTCACCATTACTAAAATTAGGCCAAATACTGCATTAACAGCTCGTAAAAGCTGTTCACCAAGTACACTTTCAGGAGTAACTTCAGAAGTGGACATGCCTGTTTTCTAAGCAGAAGGATTCATCAGGATCTACTGACACCAGATTCCTTCTTTGCTCCCAACTGAGCAGACCTTTACTTTCATGAATTGGTCGTTTACAAGAACTTGGCTCAAGACACAGATGCAGAACCAAGAAATGTGTAACTTTACAGCTAATAAGCTCATACCTTACCTCAAAGAAATTGCTTTTGATTTCATTAATTAGTCCAAATTTTAAAGAGTAAATAACAAATGCCCAATCCCCTCTCATACATAGTTCTGCCATCTATGCAGAAGATTTACATAAACTGCAAAGTATTAGCCCCACAACTCAGATCGCTTACTGAGACTGTGAAGACAAAATTATGTTGGCCATAGAGCCAAAACCAACTCTGGAGATTTAAAATTGGTCTTAGCTTTTAAACTACGGTCATGCTTAAACTACGCAGTACAGAACGATCCTGTGCAGACATCATTACTATAATAATATGGTAGCCATTGTTAGAAAACCACAACTCTTAGTGGAGACCCCAAAAGGTCATTGTATGACATCAAAACTGTTATGGACAAACTAGTCAGATTAATTTCTCCAATTAATCTGAAAACAGTGTAGTCACTACAGCACTGCAGTATACCCTTCTTTCGGCACGTCTACTTCACCGGGCATGCCACCCAACTGATACGGCTACCCTTGAACTAGTTCTACAGATGCAAGCACTGCACTCAGTTACTCAGCCCTTCACAGACTGAAGCTCACTGCAGTGACAGCCTTCAATGGCATCGCTTAACACCACAGCCACTGTGAATCTGTCACCACTTTACAGTCAGCCACTCTACGCAGGATTTTAACACACAAATGAGAAATGATGAAAGATGTTTAAAAAAAACAAACAACCCAACAACTTGAGATATTACAGCGTGTGGGAAAAGAAGACAATCCTACTCAGCTGCAAACAACGTACTTCTAGGTGAACACTGAGCAAAAATAGGGATAATGAAATACTTACCTAACATAAATGGGTATCAAGAATCAAGAACTTCAAAGCTACCTTATCCCAGATCTCTCAAAAAATTTTGAACAACAACTTTAGAATCATAAACATAGCCTCCTTTAAATACATAAATATCATTTACTTGCTTTGGCAGAAATGAAAGTCTATACGAATACTTTTCCAAAGTTAACTGTTCTTATTATGCAAATGTAATGGCTCTTTAAAGCACCTTCCAAAAGATCACCACCAACGGGTATTTTAACTAGTAATAGTTCCCATTTACACATAATCTCAAGATAATTTGAGAAAAATAAATATATTTAAAACTTCAATATCAAGTCAGCCAACACAATCTGATGAAATACACAATTCTGGTTACTCAACAAAATGGTATTAAATGGCCAAAGAAAAAAAAATAGGTACTTTATTAGCTATTTCCCCACTTGTAAGAATTCAATAAATAATGTCAAATGGTGCGTGTGACAGGTAAGTATACCATTCGACTCCCTAAAGACCTATGCTCTTATGAAACACTTGAGGCGGTTGGAAGTATTTCAACTTAATGTTGAATATACAGAAAAACTCTAGTGAACTTTGAACACGTTTCAAGAACTTACACATAATCATACAACAGGAAAATTTTCATAAATCCTTTTCTGACAGATCCTATACCAGTACATTTTTCACTAGAGAGCAGGTCAAGTGCGAATAGGTTTAAAAACCAAACCCGAACAACAAACTACACAGCTCTTGTGTGAGGCAAACGGCACCCATGCTAGGGATAGCCAAACAGAAGCAAGGTCTTTGTCCATAATCATTTCCATCTGCTCCACAGAAACACTGGCTTGGGAGCAGACCAACAACCATGAAGGTCCTGCTGAGCGGGGCTTTGTCTGAGGGCAGGGAGCAAGTGGCATAGACCAAGGTTTAATCAAGCAGGTTCTACTAAACAGCCACCCTAGGCTAACGGTGGCAATGTGCTCGCTGAATCAGAATGAAAAACATAGCGAAACAGAACTGAAAAGGAACGCTATTCTTTAAGAGGCTGTGACTCAACAATTTTTGTTAAAGTTTTTCAAAACTGATGCAGAAGAATTTGCCTGATAAAACAAGCATCAGGTCACACCTCCACAAGGTTTCTCCACGTTCCAAGTTCCCTTATCCAAAGCTCAGGGCAAAGATCAAAACGAACATTGTTTCTAGTTCCAGAAGCTTTACAATTTGTGCTATTTTAGCAGGGATTAACTTTTCACAAAAATGGAACTGATGAGATACCCCTGTCCTCAAAACTTCCTGAGTCGGTATTTTAGATAGCCGTAGGCAGCATCCAAACACAAGGCTCCTCACACCTACCCACAATAATTCAGAACATCTGTCTCAAAAATCTATACCTGCATCAGGCCATAACCTGGTCTTTGAGCTTAAGCTTTCCTCCCTCACCAATAAATATTCCATTCTGCAAGTCCTTAAGGTTAATGTTAACATTTCAATTTGTACAGTGCAAAGGAAAAATCTGCCCTCTTCCCCCACAAAACTGTACTCAGCTGGCTTATGTCCAACTGCAGTATTCAATGCAGAAAATGAAAATACGATTACTATTTCTTCTGGGTACCACTTTCAGTTTCCATTTCCCAAATGCTTTAGAAAGACAAAAAGTACCAAATTCACTTTAGAAGGGTGCAGTTCAGAAGACTTAGAATAATGAAAACATTTCAAAGGAGTTAAACTGTTTTAATTATTGCAATTGTACTTCAGAGTGCTCCCACCACAAGAAACTCCTTTACAAAACAAGCCAATGGAAAACTAGAAACAACTTGCCGAAGACCATAAGAAAAAAATAGGAGGATTTGAAAATAGTGCATAGTTCAAACTATTGTTTTATCCCTATTATTCAAATTTTAAAACTTTTAATGATGGTTCCTCTCGGATTCACATAATTTAACATACATCCCAATTTCAAAATTAATCATCCACCTCAAGGAACTGGCTTGAAAGACTGCAGTCACACTGAAGCTACAACTGTGACTATCACATCAGTTAATACAGATATTAACATTACAGTACAGACTAATAATGACTTTCTTATATTAAGTGCACAATATCATAAATAAAAATAAATCATAATTAAAGTGCATATTTTCTTAAACAAATGAAGTGCACCATAAAAACAATCCAAGACCTAGCTAGAAAAACCCAATAGAAAACAACAACAATTCACCCTTGTAAACATCACTAATGGAATTTAAACATTTGTGACTTTGCAGGAGAAAGCCTGGGAACACTACGGAGTTCAGTGTCCTTCAGACACAGTACTGCACAGAACGCAACGTTCATACAGATATCTTGTCATACTCTAATCACTTTGTTTAATTGCTGCCATACAGCATAGAGTTAATCACTCAACAGGAGATCACCAACAAGAGTTAAAAACTTTTTTTCCCCCCTAAGATAAGGCAAAACCATGACAATGAAGTGCACCTAGAAGTTAACTGAGAAACCCTCCATGGTATCTGGAACATGACAGCAAAGCCACTGAATTAATCACAGTCAGCACTGGTTACTCTATGCAAGCTGCTCACAGATTTAACCCTATACATACGACATGGCCATAGCCCTTTATAAAGGTAATAGTAGCAGTAAAAGTCCATATGATTGACTGGAAAAAGGGACCTAATCCTTCCCAAAAAGCAATGAGTTCTTATGCTTTAGTGGTTTTTATGCCTATAAAAATATCCACTAACCCAAAAGAATTACAAGATCAAAAAAATCCACGCTTGGTGTTACTAGGGTACATCTCTTCGACAGACTAGGTACGTAATTTTCTTTTATCACTATCCTCGAACCATATCAAGCCTTATCCAGTACGCAGGTCTGCCAGCTCCTTCATCCACATGGAAACCAGCCACAAATGACAGAAGCTTGGAATCTACAGGTTGATCTTAATTTATTTCTAGAGAACAGTATACATGCTGAATTTCAATGCATATATATTAGTTCACTTTGAGAGCTACATAAGAAGGTCAAAATGTGAAAAAGTAAGGATAGCAAGCCAAAATTTAAAAGAAATCTATGACCACATCAGTCCACTAAAACGTTTTTCTTTCTTTGCCTTCAAGGGTAGCTGCCTGCTGCTCTGCTAAAAAACTTCATAGCAGCTACAGGTTGTTTTTACAGCCCAGTCCCAGACAAGTTCAATACGACATGGATACCATCTGGCTGCTCTTGGCCATGAACAGAATGGATGAAGCCAGCAGGCTTTCACCTCATTCCACTACGGTGAAAAGTTTACCATTTCATTAATGTCTGTGGACTGTGTAGCTGGCCTGCCTGCTGATTCATCCCTCAGAGGTTTGGTAGGAGCATTCTCAGTGTTGCAAACAAAAAAGCCCACATGTGTACGTGCACAGGAAAGGACTTCTCCTACAGGAAATGCCCACATGTATGTCACCCCATCTGCTTGTACCTGGGCGCGGACTGTCCTCTTCATCACAGGGTGGAAAGCCAACGTCCCCGGCAGGCAATGACTACACAATCTTTAAAAGTTGAGCCTGCATCTTGTCTGGAACAATATCAAAAAGTAAACCTGGGGAGTGGGAGCAAGGCAACAAACCTACACCAAACAGGACAGTCTTGACTATGCAATATAAAAAAAACTAGAGTGAAAAGAGAATCTCCAAGGCTGATCAAGGTACATACAAGGAAAACACTTCAGAATGCAAACAACATCCTACATTTCATGCCGCATTTCTGAATCGTTTGTCTTTCAAAGTCCTTAAAATCTCAATTTTCAAAAAGGGGCCTGAATGCTACACAGCGCTCTGGTGTCACTGCCTGACGATACCCACTAAACTCTGCTAGGTCTCCCTCCAAACGCCCCAGACACCGCCAGCTACCCCAGCATACGCAGACAATAACGCCCAAAAGCACCGCTTCTCTATCTTCTGCCATCTCCAAGACTTGAAGCCCACATGTTAAGCCCTTCTGGAATCTATGAACACAGCAAAAATAAAAGGCAGAAGTTAGTGTCATTTTAGATGTTACTCTTCTCAAAATGCAACAATACCAAATTCCTGAACACTAAGCACAGCTTCCATTTACTGACAATTCTGTAGACTTGCCAATACCAGGTACTTGCACAAACACATGCCCAAAAGGTGGCTAACTCAGGACTCATAATCTGTGAAGTTTTACAACCATAATTATTTTTGTTTGGTTGGTTTTAAAAAAACCTTACCAAAAAAAAAGAAGAGAGAACTTTTGTAGTTTGTTTGTTGAAATTAGCATTTTAAAATTAAGTCTATCATAAACATTTATAAATTGGCAGACATATTCAAATATAGAACAACTGATTACAAGAATTATCATTTTTGAAAAAAAAATAAAATCTGACTTTCATTACATATGTTATGAGAAACACACAGCAGAACACTTACACAGAGCTTAGCCTGCTGGAAAATCTTGCACATTCCAGTCACATAAAAGAGATCGTATTAAAAGCACCTCTGACATTAGATTATGATTAGACACTCGGTGTTATCACAGTACCCTATCAGAAATCGAACTATATCCAGATTTTGTTCCTTATCTGTAGAATATTCCCAGATGCACCTCTAAAAACCGCTGTCGATATGGCTACACTTCTGTCTGTTTATTCCTCTGTAACCCAGTCTAGGAACCCAGGAGGAAATGTGCATATTAAGGAACAGGACAAGTTCTTAAAGTGATGTTAAGCTACTCGCCATTAAACATAGCACCCTTATACTGTGTGCTTCCCCAGAGTCTCAAAAAAGATGCTAAATACCTACAAAAAAACCCCCAACCTTCACCTACCACAGGTGATGTATTCTCTATGTATGAGATGACAGCTGATTAGAAAGACAAAACAGCGAATGTGAGCACTGAAGATTTTTCTATGTTAGAAAAAAAATACTCCTTTATCCAGCTATAATTTTATTAGACTGGGAGCGGGGACTAGCAGTCCCTTCATATCAACGTGAGGAGACTGGAACTATTCCAGCACCATTATACATAACCTAACCATATCCTCTTCCTTGTTTCCCACTAGTTTCCAGTTCAGAAAATCAAAAGCAAATCTTTGTAGCATAGATAAATCCTAACTGTTAATAACAGTTTCAGACTATTTCACAGTCACAACCACAGACAAATTTTAAGATCTCTGTAGTAACAGACCACTGGAAATCTTACTAACCTTAATCTCACTAAAATTTAGCCTTTACACTATAATAACAAAACTTTGTATTTGTAAGGCAAGAGAGCACAACTTCAGTCACTGCCATCCTCACTTCACATCTACTGATGCAGACTCAGAGATCTCAACCAGCTGCAGGGTTGCTGCCATTGCTAAAATTAGACCGGCTCCAAAATATCTTGGGTGACTGAGAACTGTGAATTTCATACGAGTAGGTTTATTTTGTAACAGATTGGCATAGGCAGACTTGGTAGCCTGCTTATAAAGGTAAAAACTGAAGTGTTCACATTAAACCTTGAAAGCTGTAAAATTATTCTGCTGTTCCAGGCAATTTCTTTCAGCATCTTCTATATTAAAGCAGGGGATGGAGCTGTACTTGATCTTGTTTCTTTATAAACAGGTTTGATTACAGACAATGAACAGATTTGGGAAATACCTCCCTTCCACAAAATTATACTACATGTGAAGATTTGTTACCTTAAAATAAGGAACAGCAGCAGCAAGGAGGAAAATCCCTGAAATAAAGAGGAAACAAACTTTTATTTATCTGCGATTGATTTACCAAGGCCACAGACACAAGGTTCTTTAGACTATGCCAAAAAAGACTCTGCCCTTTGTTTCATAAAGTCCAAGAAGAATGTTTGTGACTAACTATAAATGTCAAGATCATTAGCTGCCTGGCTTTCAGTAATCTTGTAAGTATAGATCATAAAGCCATAGTGTAAAAACACACTAACTACACAGTCCAGCTTAATCTGCATCACGTCTCTGTAGTGCTAAATCTGGCTAAATACTACACATTTGATAGGTGGAAAATTAGTATTAAAAGACAAAATATTAGGAAGCCTGTATTTCTTTTGAGTGTCTTTGGCGACAACCTCAGTTTGAAACACCAAATGCAGATCTTTTTCCAAACTACTGTAATGCATTAGGTTCACCTATAGCAGAAGAAAAAAAACCTACTGACTCCATGCAAGACCTATGAGAAGGACAATGGCTTAAACCCTGCAGTTATTTAGTTTTCCTTTTCTAGCTCATAACACAGTCAAATGCTTCCTCCCAAGCACACAGAAAGCCCAGATTTACCAGAGGTATCTGTTGCACAACAGAGCACATTTATTATAGTTGGAAAGTTGCCGAGTAGAAAAAACACCCTCACGAGAAGGTATAAGGACCAGAATGAAACTCTACTATGTCACCACGGGCTTCAACCTCATTCAGTCTGAAACGGAAAAAAAATCATTTTTTGCTAATGGAGCAGCTACACCTTTTCCCTCACTTCAACATCAGGCAATCAGGATTTCAGAAAATTACAGATGTCTTTATTCCAATCACTAAGAGAGCCTTGCTGCTTCCCAACAAGGAACAAGATCTCTAGTCAGCAGTCATCGTATCTGTTCCCAGGGAATCCAAGTCACATTCCACCTCCTTATAACTTTAAAACTGTGCATCCTATAGTGAGAACAGACAGACTTCTCTAGCGCTCCTTCTGTAGCTTAAGAGCATCTTTTGGATAAAGTTTTACACTGACATGTTTTTCCCACCACTGAAGTCATGCTAAAGATAGAATAAATGGCATTCAACTTGTAACAGTCTTTTGGTTGTTCTGAATTGAAGGTCAAATTAAAACTGGTGATTTGTCTACCTCTGTTTCTCACTTGCAGCATGACAGAATTTGGTGAAGGAACAACTGGTTATGCCATACAATGACTAGTTTTAATCAAAAGATATGGACATAAAGCTAACTTTGAAGTCTACAATGCCCTTGAGAACATGGCAATGACTCATACAGGAACTCTGTTTCAGGAACAGACACATTCAAAGACACATGCCGAAACCCACTGTCAGTTGCACTAATGATAATGAACCAAAGCAACCAACATGGCATTTTTGAATGAGCAAGGTGACAAACCTTAGCATGAATATGTGGTAATCCATGGAAGCATTAATACGGGTGAGAATTTTCTCTGAACACCTTTGAATTTGCAGAATCCACGAGCCACAAGATAAGAAGCACCTCTCAGAAAGAATCTACGTAGGAGTCAAACAGATAACCTCATGCTGCTAGAATTTCATGCATGAGTGGCCTTTGTATCATCATCGAGGCGCTCAGACCCCAACATACTGAGGAAGTGGGAGAGTCAAGGACAACTGCAGTCAGAGCAGAGTCCCAGCACTATGCGTGAATGCTTCCAAGTGCTCTAGTGAAGACGAGGAAAGAAAAGAGAGAAGAGACAAAAACCCTTCTGGCCACATGAAAAGGATTGATTCTTCCTGCAATTGATGCATGAGGAAACCAGATATATTGCTTCAAAATAGCAAAAGTGTCCTAGTTTACCTCCAGATGCAGTTTCCATTCCAGCAGATCTAGCTTCTGCCTCCAAGTCAATTGCCT